AAACAAAAGAAGTCGAAACATTCCTTTAATGACAACTGCTGTCTATCCAGTGCTAGGAGACAAGCTAAGGGACAGGCCTTGGCCTCCGTCCTGTCTGTCACTGCTTGGCCACACTGTGTATGTGTATAAAGTGCCATCAGGTCACAGAAAACTTATGGTGACCCCCATAGGGTGAACACTGATGGAACCTGCAGATTTAAGAAGGCACAAATAGATGGACTCAAGAAGAGGCAGAAAGTGCAGGCCTCCCCTGTAAGGTGAGCAGGGCTTGTGGGAAGGAGGATGCTGTACTAGATGGACCTCCCTTGGTATGCAAGAGGGGTCCCTTTCATATCCTCCCCTTCCTTGGTCGTACCCGGCCTTTCATTGCAAGAGATACAAGAGAAGTCCTTCCTCTCCCCCAGTCGAAGGCCAACACTTTTGTCCGGCTGCACAGAAAAGAAAGTGGCACGGGGAAAAGAGCCGGAAGGGACGCTTCAAGGGGCACAAGCCGGTGCGGAGCCCCCTCCAGGAACAGCGAGCGCACAGGGACGCGGAGGGCGCGCGGCGAGAGGGAGCCTCAATCCACCCACCCGGCGTCCCAGCGGCTGAGTGGGAAGGGGCAGCTGTGGCGACAGACGGCCCCCCGGCACCAGGGCCCGGTCGAGGGACGACGCGCTCTGACCCAAGCCGCGCGCCCCTTGGAAGACGGCCCAAGGCCAGCGTGCCTCTGAGCGCCTCCAGAGGGCGGGCACACACGCCCCGCCGCGCCCGCCGCTTACCCTCGACGTCGCCGGCCAGCTCCTTCCAGGTGGGGGCGAACTGCATGCAGTGGCCGCACCAGGAGGCGTAGAACTCGACCACCCAGGCGCTGGAGGAGTGGAAGACGCGGCGCCCCAGCGTGTCCGCCCCCAGCAGCGCCAGCGGGTCGTCGGGCGAGTAGAGGCCCAGGCCGCGCGCCCCGGCCGGCAGCAGCAGCAGCAGCAGCAGCGCCAGCGGGCAGGCGGGCAGCGGGAGCGAGA